CTCTCTCTCTCTCTCTCTCTCTCTCTCTCTCTGTGTCTCTGTCTCTAGCACCGGCTGCCCACATCCCCATGTGCTTCAATGTCACACTCGCAACACATGATGACAGGAGGCAGGGCACAGGGGGACCTACGAAGTCCTTCAAACCCCTTTCAACCCCATCTATACCCTCTATACCCCCTAAAATCAGACATCGCCAAATTCAAAGCCAAGGCCAGATTTGTGCAACTCTTGTTGGGTGCACAAATGCCCCACCAATGCCCCACCAATGCCACCATTAGATTTCGGAAAACAATAATAAAAGTGGGGAAAAAAAACCTTTCAAAAAAGTTCAAAAAACAAAAAAGTTGAAAACAAATCATTTTTTTATTTTTTTTTGGTTTACCCGGTGCCCCAGCAGCCGGAATATAGGCTACAACCTAGAACTGCCCGGTAAACCGTAGGCAGAGAGGGAGAAGAGGACAACAAACGAGGGGCTGTGACAAACTGTTTCGTCGGAGTAAGATAGAGTCCTTTTAAATCTGTCAAAGGTTTAAAGACGTGAGTTGGGTTGTCTAGGCTCAAATAAATATATATATAGTGAAACAGAGCTGCCCGGTAAACCGTAGGCAGAGAGCGAGAAGAGGACAACAAACGAGGGGCTGTGGCAAACTGTTTCGTCGGAGTTTCACCGATATATATATATCGGTGAAGGGGATAAGTCCGGCAACGGCTTGATGTGACCGTAGGCTTGATGGCAGCTCTTGCAGCCTGACGAGGGGGAGCTGAGAGAGTAGCAGAATAATACTATGTGTCGATTCCATACCTCAATCGCCACTGTAGCATTGCACAATGCGTCGATTACTTCTTCTTTCATCGGTTGGAGCAGCTCTGACGGCAGCTCGCCAAGTGCAAGTGCTGAACCTCTTCTTGATGCTGGGTTCCGATCAGTCCGGAGAGTCGACAGGTACTTCGCTGTGGACAGTTCGATTCGATTCGCCGAAGCTGGCAAAAGATATGTCCTCGCAAACACTCTCAGGGCACGGACTGCCTGGGACTGCGCTTCACCGAAACATCAGGGAAAATGAAAGCATGTTGTCGGCTTTAATAACTTTTCTTTCACTTTCTCTTTTTAATTGGTTGATCAGGTAGCCCCTATGATCATTGGATAGGAAAGATTAATGTCTGAATTAGAACTTTTATTAGTCTTTTGCAATGAGCCCAAACTTCCAACAAAGCAGCACACAAGAGATGAAAATCAAAGCGTGTGATATGAGCACTCAATTTGTCTAGAACTCAAAAGTCTTATGCAAACAATTTTATGTACATCCTATAGCTGGGTGGCTATGGCCTCCAGCAAGCAACAACCATGAATCTCTCTCTCTCTCTCTCTCTCTCTCTCTCTCTCTCTCTCTCTCTCTCTCTCTCTCTCTCTC